CTCTTTGATTTCCGATGAGCTTCTGTGGATGTTCAATTCTTCAATGGCATAGATCTCCATTGCGCGACGCCAAATTGTGGTGATCAGAATAGTACAGAATATCGGGATACGAGAACCCGCACTGTACTGCTCAGAACTGAATTGGCTTCAACCCGAACTGCAGACACCTATGAAATACAAGAGGAGTTGATAGCAGCAGATGTTTAAGTTATGTACTGATAGAATTTGAGTATGTTTTATAGAATATAATAGTCCATATGATTGGTTGAGGGACCGTCGTCCAATCATGTAATCGTTTGCGCAGACGCAACACATGTACTAATTCGGATGTCATGTTTACCCGGTGTACCATTGGCCGAGCTTCCTGAACTGTTAGGAGGAATACATGAAGCTGTGCCTGGTCGTGCTTGCAATGTGGTCACGTATGTCTGGATCACCACAATTTGGTTCGAGAGAGTGAGCTAGGAGACTAGGGTTTGAGGAGAAATTGTTAACTTAAGCAACATCCGCGCGAAGATTATCAAAATGTTTAGTGTAGCGTGATTGTTCGACACAAGGCGATGCCTCGTGCATGTATTTGAGCAGGAACATGAAGAGGAGAGAACAATGATACAGATCGTAACGGACAAACCGTTATGTCGCTGCAAACTGTTGGCTGTCATTTGGTCCTATATTATGAATCTTTTTCAATGCTCCACACTATCCAGATCATACAGTTCTTTTACGCATTATTTGTACAGATATCGTCATGGTTTGAAGCCACGCGCGCATACACACACATATGAAGGAATTCTTTTGATTGGTGAGCGGTTAACACAAATTAGCAACGAGCTGCTCCCTCGCACTCACACACACACACACACACACACACACACTCGCACTAAGCTCGTTGATGTCAATCCGTGTTTTCTCCCGACGGTCAGTCACATCAAATGGTCCTGATATCAAGTGTCCCCATCCAACCACGACGTATTATCCACGTGATCCACGTGCCGGCGAAAAGAACTAACATCGTGTGAGTGAAATCAACCGGGTGAGTCATAGGCAATCTTCGTTGTTGCTTTCGTCATATTGCGGAAGAAACCGTCCAATTTGTAGCAGGGCTGTTTAAATTGAAGCTGAGTCATTTTAGAACGGTACACTTCAATAAGTGTTGGGATTTGAATACATGTATACATACATGTGTTGACCGAACTCGTGCAACAACACTCTAATTTTGGAAATACATTTTAGTCTCCAATATCATACTTGTATATTGATGGCTATGGGTAAACTGTATTTATTCCTGATTTTATGGCCAACATCTATATTTTTAGTTCTCTCCTACCACATTTTTACAGTCACTGGATGGGTCAAGTTCAGCTTCAAATTCGTTCAATACCACGCATCACCTGGGATTTTAATTTAATCGAAAAATTTTCCCTGTATTAGAAACAGAGATAAGTTAGCCACCTCGACATTGGTCGTCAGTGGTAAGGGTGTGCGGTGTATTGGAGGAAACTGGCAAATTCTGTTTAGCAGGCAACTTGGCGGAAGACATGCAAAAGTGATTGCCTCCACTGGTTAAAAACAAAAGAGGACAAATAGAACATGGACGAGATGAGAGTGCAATACCTGTAAGAAGTCTATGAACTATTTTAGTTAATAAATTCTAGTTACGTTTTCTACTGTGACTTTGTTATTTTACAACTGATGCACAAGCAAACATCGTCAAAATCGCGAAACCGTACATTTTAATGGCATGTGGTTGAAAGAGGCAAATACATAAGTGGGTATTATATCATATATGTTGCCTCTGATGTGGGGCAATGTCATGTTCAATTCAGTGAATGAGGCTGGAAAAACCTGTACCTGTGCACCTGGGGATCAAAATATCATATACCTACTGTCGTCAGGTGTTTCTACTGAATGGAACTGAACGGAAAATTGTTCCACAGATGTTTCAACTTAATTTGGGTAACCAAAATGTGATCAAATGGAAGCGAGTGAGATTTAGGGATGCTGTGATTAGTACTATCTTATTCCGGAAAATCGGAGTGGTAAATGGAACTTGAATATGTGGATTAATCTAGACACTGATTAATGAACGCTTCACAACGGATGACGGATAACATGTATTCAGGTAGTATGACACAAGTGGATTATTAGTTAGCCGATGAAAAGCGCGTACATGAATTTATTGGAGAATAAATGACCAATTTTATTTGTTAAAGTAACGAACCTCGTGGAACTTTGATGTACAGCGGATGAATTGCAATTTATCTACTTACTCCAGTCAATTACGATATTGCACATAAAGATTCCATATTTGTGCTGTGATAGACATTGTTTTTGCTGAGCAGTAGCTTTACGATTTGTCGGATTTTGCGAATAGACGTGTTTTATTTTGTCACAATGTTCTGCTCACAGCTGGCCTATTAACCGGGAGGTTGGAAAAATGCTCCTTGAACGAGAGACGAGAGAGTGATGGTGATGGTGGCCTACTGGTAAGGTCACCAAATTATCACTCCGGAGGAGGACTTGTGTTCCAATCCCCCACGACTGTCTGAACTGCGCACTCTACGTGAATTGTACGGTAACCATCTGAAAATTGTATCATTATGTAATCAATAAATTGGGAATGCAAATAGTATGATAGACAAATGACTTTTTGATAATGTAATTGTCAGATCGCGCGCAATTGGGAAACAATCGATTGGCTATTCAAACCTATCAGGCTTTTGCATAAGTTACCCCTAGGACTTGAAGCTATTTTTTCAAATGATTTTTATAAATAATCAACCAATGTTATGTATGATTGCGATTTCTTCACTCCGTAGGGAGGGGGTGGGTTGAGATAATACGTCAGCAAATCTCTCATTCGTCATTCTCCTCATGCACCTATGCGTATTATCGAATTTGAATTTTATATCACGTATAGTGATGCTATTATTATTATTATTATTATTATTATTATTATTATCTTTTTACGTCCCTTTTTTAAATATACTTTTATAGTCAACTTCACGGTGTAGATGTAGGCAGCATACGTTCAAATGCTGCTTGGTTGGTGTTATATGCCCACTACACTTGAAATTGTGTTGGAAGCTTAGCTCGCTTCATCACCATCCTCAATTCAAACGCGACACGTGAGACATGAAAAATTTCAACCTCGATGCCTATTGCATTTCATCTCTCCCCCCTCCCGCCATACGGATTGTAATCGAGTGTCCCCATGGTTGCATCATATTCGGATAAATTTCGCCTAATCTTCCCATGTTTACAGTAAGCACCGTGAAAAGATGAATTGTTTTCGTGCTGAGAACAACCACTTACCCACCCCAAAAATGGATAGATTGTTCCCTTTCATGAATCCCTGTTGATAAAAGGCCTCGGGCATCCAAACCGAGCCACTTCACTTTCATTATTATTATCATTATTCAGATGCATTTCACGAACCCAAAACACTTGACCGCAAAATATTCATTCACGTCCTTTTGTTGCACCGAAACGCCAACGCAATCAATCACGCAGACACAAACACGCACAAGCACACAAAAGAATTACATCCCAGTGGATAAAACCGGGTTGTTTGATGGTCAGCAATGTTGACGAAACATCAAGCCTTGTAAATCCCCCGAGGACTTCAACAGAGGTCATCAGTAGCGAATGCGAAATATGACCAACCAACCAACCAAACACCCACCAGTTTCGTGGATTGAAACAAACAAACATGGTGGGCACAAATAAACGGACAGGAAAACAAACAAAAGTGACTGAAAAAACCCCGATCTGAGGGATCGTGGACCGAAACAGCAAGAGTTAACTGCTGATGAATACAGGTTGTAAATGTGACAGATTTTACGAGATTAGTATCTCGTTTGGAATGTCTAACTAATCGCAATCGTGAAAAGTCGTTCATCAGAACGAGACAACTGGAGGTTAATGAACGATGGGTTTTTGGAGGGAGCAAAGTCAGTCACGAGTTGAAAAGAGATGGATAGCCTCTCTACGGTGTGACAGACAGACAAAGAGAGAGATACGAAGAAAAAGTGAAACTGGGAATATTAACAGAACGTGTGAAAGCA